TTGGGGGCAGAGGCACATATGCCACACTATGTGGGTGAAAGTCAGAAGACAACTTGTAAAGGTTAGTTTGCTCCTCCCACCACATGAGTCCCAGAGATCAAACTCAGGCTATCAGATTTGGCAACAAGCTCCTTGACCTATTGAGCCATCTTATAGGCCCAGAAAACAAATTTTTACTATTTTCTTAGAATCATCATCCAGTATATAGGTATCAAATTCATATATCTTTGAATTTTGTTGCATTAGAATGTTTGATTTTTTAAAAACCACTGCTTGTGTTGCTCATTTGAGTCTCATAAAAAAATTATCAAATGCATTTTGTATTAGACACATTTCCACCAATTTCTGAAATGGCACTAAACGTACTTCTGCTTTTTTGTACTAGGCTTATGCACAGTAGTATTCTCTGCAGTGACAGTTTTAAAATCAAAATACCCACCTGTAGTTGTCCCAACCCGCAGGACAGCAACCTAGAGCAAGAAGTCCAAGGAGGGGACTGGGGACAAGAGATTCAAGAGAATGACCATAAGACAGGATTCTGATCAAGTGACCAATTTTATTTTTTCCAGGCTAGCTTATGTAGTCAGTAGTATGGGGCAAAGGGGAGGGAGAGGAGAGGCCAAGAGCCAGGTGTTAGTTTAAGCAGGCCTCCAAGAGACAAAAACCGAACATGGCAAAACAAGATACAAACAGACAAGACAAAAGCTCTTATATAGAGGCTGGACAAAGCAACCCAATAGGAGGAAAAGAGTCCCAAGAGCAGGCAAAACACTCAGAGACAAACTGGCTCCCGCTGTTAGGAGTCCCAGAAAAAGACCAAGCTAACAGCCATAACATATTCATAGAGGACCTAGTGAAGACCCATACAGGCCCCATGCTTGCTGCTTCAGTCTTTGTGAGCCCATATGAGCCATGCTTAGTTGATTCCATGGCCATGTTCTTCTGTTGTCCTCCATCCCCTCTGACCCCTACAATTTTTCACCACCTTTTCTGGGGGATTCCCTGAGTTCTAATGGGAAGGACCCAATGGAGAACTCAGATTTAGCCCGACTCTACATAAAGTCTGGCTCTGGGTCTCTGAACCCACTCCAATCTGGGACCAGAAGAAGCCTCTCTGATGATGACTGGACAAGGCACTAATCTATAAATATAACAGATTATCATTAGGAATCATTTCATTGGTTTTTGTTTGTTTTCTTTTGTTTTGGCCAGTTGTGTTGGGTTCTACCCTATGTCTCTGGGCTATCCAGTCTCTGGCTCTTGGTTACCCAAGCACTGCCAGGCATGGGCTCCCTTTCATGGGCTTCAAGTTAAACCATACATTGGTTGGTCACTCCCACAAGTTCTGCACCACCATTGCTCCAACACATCTTGCATGCAGGACAGATTGTAGGTCAAAGGTTTTGTGGGTGGGTTGGTGTCAATGCTCCTCTTTTGATAGCCTATAGAGCACCAAAGAGACTAGAACGTAGGGTTGAAGGCCCCATGCAGGCACCAGCTCCACCTCTGTAGATTCAATGCATTATGTGGATGTTGTCCTCAGAAGTGGGACCACGTTGTCAGTTTTCAGAGAAAGATCTTCTGTCCTAGCATCAACCTGGGTTGTTTGGGGGTCTCCATAGGATCCCTCAGCCAACAACTCAACCAAATACAACCCAGTCACACCACTGGAAGCCTTGCCTGGCTACAAAAGATGACCAGTTCAGACTCCTTATCCTCCATTTCTAGGAGTCCTCACTAGGGTCACCCTTATAGATTCCAGGAAGTTTACACTGCACTAGGTTTCCACACTGCCCTCAAGATGCCCCCCAATTTCTACTGTCTCCTTGCACTCTCCTTCTCCATCCTGTCCCTCCACATGATCCCTCCCATTGCTGTCCCCTCCCTCCCCAGTCGACCCATATAATCTATTCTATATCCTCTACCCAGGGAGATACATGCATCCCCCTATAGCCATCCTCTTTACCTAACCTCTCTGGGTCTATGGATTGTAGCTTGATTCATTCATTTAATGGCTAATATCAACTTATAAGTGAGTACATACCATATTTGTCTTTGGGGCCTGGGTTATCTCACTCAGAATGATTTTTTCTAGTTCCATCTATTTGCCTGAAACTTTCATAATGTCAGTTTTTAAATAGCTGAGTAATACTCCATTGTGTAAATGCACCACAATATCTTTATCCATTCTGTTGGGTGACATCTAGGTTGTTTCCAGTTTCTGTCTATTATGAATAAAGCTGCAATGAACATAGTTGAGCAAGTGTCCTTGTGGTAGGATGAAGCATCCTTTGGGTATATGCTCAAGAGTGGTACAGCTGGATGTTGAGGTAGATTGAGTCTCAGTTTTCTGAGGAACAGCCATATTGATTTACATAGTAGCTGTACAAGTTTGCATTTCCACCAGTAATGGAGGAGTGCTCCCCTTGTTCCACATCCTCTCCAGCATGAGCTGTCACTTGTGTTATTGATCTTAGCCACTCTGACAGGTATAAGATAGAATCTCAAAGCGGTTTTGATTTGCATTTCTCTGGTGGATAAGAATATTGAACATTTCTTTTAAATGTTTCTCAGCCATTTGAGATTCCCTCTATTGAGAATTCTCTTTTCAGTTCTGTACCCCATTTTTAATTGAATTATTTGTTTTCTTGATATCTAGTTTCTTGAGTTCTTTATATATATTGGAGATTAGCCCTCTTTCAGCTGTGGAGTTGATAAAAAAAAAAAAACTTTTCCTATTTTGTAGGCTGCCATTCTGTCCTATTGATGGTATCCCTTGCCTTACAGAAGCTTCTCACTTTCATGAGGTCCCATTTGTTAATTGCTGATCTTAGTGCCTGCACTATTGGTGTTCTGTTCAGGAAGTTGTCTCCTGTGCCAATGAGTTCAAGGCTATCCCCTACTTTCTCTTCTATCAGGTTCAGTGTAAATGGTTTAATGTTGAGGTCTTTGATCAACTTGGACTTAAGTTTTGTGTGGGGTGATAAATATGGATCTATTTGCACCAAGTTGGATCAGCATCCTACCACAAGGACACTTGCTCCACTATGTTCAGCACCATTTGTTGAAGATGTTGTCTTTTTTTCCAATGTGTATTTATGACTTCTTTATCAAAAATTCAGTTTCCATAGATGTGTGGATTTATTTATAGGTCTTTAATTTGATTTCATTGATCAAAGTTTCTGTTTTTATGCCAATACCATGCGGTTTTTACTATTACAGCTCTGTAGTACAGCTTGAAATCAGGAATGATGAGATCTCCAGAATTTCTTTTGTTGTCCAGGATTGTTTTTGCTATCCTGGGTTTTTTGTTTTTTCCATTTGAAGCTAAGAATGTCCTTTCAAGGTCTGTAAAGAATTGTGTTGGGCATTGAATCTGTGGATTGCTTTTGGTGAGTTAGCCATTTTTACAATGTTAATCCTATTGATCAGTGAGCATGGGAGATCTTTTCATCTTCCCTTATCTTCTTCAGTTTCCTTCTTCAAAGACGAAGTTCTTGTCATACAGGTCTTTCACTTGTTTGGTTAGAGTTACCCCAAGATATTTTATAATATTTGAGGTTATTGTGAAGGGTATGGTTTCTATGATTTCTATATCAGTCTGTCATGTGTATATAGGAGGGCTACTAGTATTTATGAGTTAATCTCATATACAGCCACTTTGCTGAAAGTGTTTAACAGCTGAAGGAGTTCCTTGGTGGAATGTTTAGAGTCACTTGTGTATACTATCATGTCATCTGCAAATAATGGTACTTTGACTTCTTCCTTTCCTATTTGTAACCCCTTGATCTCAAGTGGCCTGTGGTTGATAAGGAGATGTCCACCTGAGTTGGGGGCTGGGACACAACAAAAACATGTGGGGGGTGGGGATGGGGAATCCACAGGCCGTACGGACCAGGGGAGGAGAGGCATCAGTTGGTCTTCTGTTCAGCACTAGGGATGAACTTGTGGTTGGGTCTGGAAGAACAGAGCTGGTTATGGTGTTTTATCACAGCAATAGAAACCCAGACTAAGACACATTCATTATGCAAGTGTGATAGGAGGATGTGATGAACCATGCGTTCATGAAATGGCACAGTAGAGGATATTGTCACAGAGGAAAGTGGAGCTGACCTGAGAGAATGGATTCACCCAGTAGTCTATGGATGGGTGGCCAGAGTGCAGGACTGGGAATGGGAATTGGGGGTTGTGCACATGCACACTCACGCACTCGAACACACACACACACACACACACACACACACACACACACTGGGAGAATTGAACAAAGGCCCACAGGTGTGTGAGGACTGCCAAATCAATGAGAAGAAAGCAGATGGTTCTGACTGCCCCATTTGGAACACTATCACTTAGAAGAGGGAGTATAGCAGCTAAGAAATACAGAGACAATGAAAGAAGATTCTTTTTGTTTGTTTTGTTGTTTTAATTTGTTTTGAGACAGAGTCTCAAGAACTTGCTAAGTAGCCAAGGCTGGTCTTGAACTCCTGATCTTCCTGCTTCAGCCTCCCTAATGCTGGGATGACAGGTGTGCACTGCCATGCCTGGCTTAAATGAGATCTTGACTGCCATGCTAATTGCTCACATCCAGTCTTGTAGATAAGGGTTGCAACCAGTAGTCTTTAAGCATTTGAAAGATTGCTTCGTGGCTATAAGGCTACATGACTTATCTGTTCTAAAATGTATTTGCTCCACACCTTACCTAACCCAGGATCCTTCTCAGGGTATATCCCTATCATAAACATTCATGTGTGCTCATACCCACATCCAGCTCACCCGCTAGTCTGTGGGAAACAGAGATGAGGGGTCATATGCAGATCATCTCTACATCTACAACCTATTTTTGCTATGTTCAATGGGTACATAAGTTGGTCATCGAATGGATGGATGGGTAAAACTGGAGATGTTGAGCAATGAAAATAAGAAAGCCTAGAAACACTGGATGAATTGACAGATGAGGAAGTAAACAAATTAAAGGAACTCTAAATGTTGATTCACTGCAGATGCGAACAAAACAGGTCCCAGTGCTCTGGGCCTGTTTCCTCCTGTGGAATCTCTACATCTCCTCCTCCCAGGCTGTTTACCCTGGAATCAAGGCAAGGATCACCCAGCGTGCACTGGACTATGGTGAGTTGGATTTATTTAGAAGTCAAGCTACAAATGCCCTTGGTGTGGCCTGTGTTCCAAACGAGCATTTTGTGAACTGGGCCTGAGATAAAATCTCAGTGGGGTTAACTAACCCCTTGTGAAGATGTACCAGATACCTGGGAAGAAAGTGTTGCCCACAAAATAGACATCTGCTGAGAGGCATATTCAAACTTACAGATGTTCTCTCTTTCTCCCCCCACCCCGCCCCCATATATCTGGGCTCTAAATAGAAATACATCAGAAAGAGTGTAGTAGCCCACACCTTTAATCCCAGCACTCCAGAGGAAGGAGAATCTCTATGGCTTTGAGGACAACCTGGTCTACATAGCAACTTCTAGGTCAACCTGGGATACACAGTGAGACCCTGTCTTACAAAGGAAGGAAACCTAGGATACTCTAAATCATACACAAAATTTATTATGGACCATTGTGCTTTATTCTTAAGAAGCTCCACCACATTTAGTAGATGTTCAAAGGGATCTTAGACTGAGAGACTAGTAGTCAGTACTTTTAGAGGGTTTTTGCAAAACTGGAAACAGAAAAACGTTAGAATATGATTTGATTGAGCTAACCTAACGTCATGTACAGAGCATCTTGGCTGTAAAATCAAAATATATGCCGGGTGGTAATGGTGCACACCTTAATCCCAACACTGTGAGGCAGAGGCAGATATAGGTCTTGAGTTTGAGGCCAGCCTGGTCTACAGAATGAGTTCTGGGACAGCCAGGGCTATACAGTGAAACCCTGTCATGACTCACCCCAATAAATAAATAAATAAATATAATATATATATATATATATGGACCTATTTTTCTCCTGTCACATTTTTCCTCAGATTAGTTGAATATAGATCACCAGGTCTCTGCCTATTCTTTTTAACAAAAGCAGCCAATCCAAGCACTATTAATCTAACCAAGAAATCCCTCAGTCTAACCAAGAATGACTCTCATGCTATATAAGAAAAGAAAAAAACGAAATGAAGGGAGGGAGAGGAAAGGAAGAGAGAGATGAGCTGATTGTGCAACTCCTTCTCTTTTCCCCAGCAGTTCATGGGGCACAAAGAGTCTATAATTAATCTGTTATGTATAACTGTTATGTGAACAATATTATATATAAACAGGCACTAGGAATATGAATGCACATCATGTGAGTATCTAGTTCCTATATTGATATGTCTGTGTATATAGAACATGTATGTCAGAAATAAGTATCCTGTAAAAGTATTAAAATGTTTTTTCCACCTTGTAAGTCATAGCACTTAACAGCTCTAAGGTCCACCTGCATGGTGTGGTTATCAGTTCTACCCTTTTGCTCAATGCATGGCCTTGGGCAGGTAGGTTGTCTCATCTGGAGAAGTGGTGATGAGTAGCTGGTCCCTACATCTTAACTGGAAGGAGAACCAAATGAGCTCACCTGTGGAAATGCAGGAAGGAGCCATGGAGATGAGAAGGTACTGGAGTCAGAATCATCTCAGTATCTACCATGTCAGGCTATGAATGTGCTTCGTGGGCCTTCTGTAGAAAGCAATCCAATATGAGCCCTGGGAAGAAGCTGATGTCATTTCACAGAAAGGGACCTTGCAATGTTAGGAGTCTCATGACAGCAGTGAAGGCAATGTATAAATTCACTTCTGGTTTTAGTCAGCTGTCTATCGCTGTGACAAAACACCTGAATAAAACAACTTAAAAGATATGTTTGGACCCACAATTCCATAAGTTACAGTCCATAGTCCTGCTGCTGCCGATGATTAATTCTGGGCCTGGATGAGGCAGTCCATCCCAGCAGAGATTGTGCAAGGTAAAGCCAAGTTGCTTATCTCATGACTGCTGAGGAACAGAAAGGGCAGATATGGCTGCAGGCGGTACATCTCCTTCGAGGGCATCTCCTCAATGACTTACTCCCTCCACCTAGACCCTACTTCCTTAAATTCCCACCACTTCCCAATAACCCATTAGGTTATGACTTCATCAATGGATTAACTCTTCGATGGAGTTAGAGCCTCTCACTGCCCTACCCTCTAAACACTACTGTACTGGGGCCACACTTTCACCGAATGAATGTTAAAGAAATATTCTTCTCTCTTTTCTTTTTATATATATTTTTAACATTATTGTTTTAGTACTGGAACTAGAACCCAGGGCCTCATCCATGCAAAGCCAGCATTCTACCACCTGATCTGCATCTCTAATCCCTGCATATGCTATTTTAAAATGTTTTATTATCATATGTTAGCTATATGTAATTAATATGAAATATTATATTTCATTGTGACATTTTCATACATATATGTAATGTATTTTGATCATATTGTTACCCTTCCTTATTGCCCTTCTAATTCCACTAATCCCCTTCCTCTTCCTACCTAGCTCCCTTGTGTGTGTGTGTGTGTGTGTGTGTGTGTGTGTGTGTGTGTGTGAGTGTGTGTCCCAATTAGGGTTGGTCACAGAAGTATAGGCACCTTATCAGAGACTACACCACACATGTAAATGTCCCCCCTCCCTTATCAACCGTTAACTGTATGCATCCTCAGGGAAGGATGGGGCCCTGTGAGTCCCCCCCCCACTTCCATTACAGGGTGTCAACCAGCCCAATAGGTGCATATCTTATGTAGGCAATCACAGTTGCTATGGGTTCAAGAATATAGAAGCTACTTTATGGACAGACGTCAGAGCTCCACACCACTTCTGAGGTCCTCCTCTGGCTCTTAGATTCTTCCCTTCTTTTGTGATGTTCCCTGAGCATTGGAGGGAGGTGATACAGGTATCCTCATTTACAGTTGGGCATTCAACCGTCTCTTGGTCTCATTACTTTGATTAGCTATGAGTCTGACGTCACTACTTATCACATTAAAAAAGATTTTTCTGACCAAGTCTGACAGTAGCAATAATATATGTGAATAAACAAAGCTGTTTAGAAGGTCATTTGATTGGCATATAGCAAAACAACTTTCCTACTAGGGTCTATGACCCCCCCCAGCCTTGGGGTTCTGATCAGGTTTACAGTATAACATATGAACTCCCAGTTGTGGTCCAAGTAGTAAATCCAATAAGAAAAGAGTTAGTTACCCCATAACAGAGTTGCCACTATTACATCAGTAGGATCATCTTGCCTGGTTGATATTGTTTCACACAGCATTCACAGTTGAGTAAAACTGTTGGAAGTTCACCCTAGCAGCCTGTGAAGCACCTTCTGTCACTATGAGAGCTAGCAAACAGGGAGGAAGCTTCTAGACAAGTTCTAGCTTGGTTTCTCTATGTCCTAAGCAAGGCATGTGGTGTCTTCAGCAATAGTGTCTCACTACCTAGTTCTGTGAGCACTTAAGAGCAGTAACAATAGTCTGTATGGTTTTGGAAAACTTGGGGAACTCCCTGACCAAAAGTGGAGAAATATTTCCAAACAGCTAAGTTCTGCCTTACCCTACAACATATGCTCATATTTCTGTTCCTTGTGCCTCAAAGCCTGATGACAATCACTGGATGTGGGCTCATGGGCAAGTCACTGACTCACTCGAAGCCTAGGCTGCATCATGTGTGAAGTGAGGGCAAGGCCTATATCACTGAATTGTTTGGGGACTGGAAGGAGAGAACTTACGTAGAGTCGATGGATAGTCTTGACATATACAGGCACTCCATACAAACTAACTCTTCCTAGTTTAGCCTCACCAATTATACACCTCCATATTTTTATAGAAAATGATTTGTTGTGCTCATTATTAGTAGTATCTGTGGGGTGTATATCAAAAGGAGATAGCAATAGTGGTACCCACCTCTCAGCCGTGGGAGGAAATGAGTAAATTAACATATCTGAAGCACTGAGAACAGAACCTAGTGAAACGAAATGCCTAGAAAATATTAGTGACTGTCCTTTTCATATGTGTGAACAGATCCCTTCCTGGTCACTGTCATTTCCATGTCACAGATGAGGAAAGGGAGTGACACAAAGGCTGAGTCACACAAGTCAATGAGAGACAGTGCTGGGCTCAAGACTAAGTCCAGTACTTCCCTTGATTGTTTTTATTTATTTATTTTTTTGAGACAGGGTTTTTCTGTGTAGCTTTGGAGCCTGCTCTGGAACTCACTCTGGAACACACCAGACTGGCCTCAAACTCACAGAGATCCGCCTGCCTCTACATCCTGAGTGCTGGGATTAAAAGCATGCATCACCACTGCCTGGCTCTTCCTTTGGTTCTTATCTTCTCTCCTTTCATACTCTGACTATATGACAACAGTATCCACAGTATTGTAGAGAATTCGGCCTGCTCCACCGCTCCAGGGGGATAGGACAGCTGGAATGAACTTGAATGCAAAGTAAGGGAGAAAGGCAAGGTTGCATTCATTTACTTTAAATTTTTTATTACATTTATTATTTATTGTGTTGTATACACACAGACATACATGTTGGTACATGTGCCATAGTGCACATGAGAAGGCCAGAAGACAGCTTCTTTACACCTCCCACTGTGTGGATTCTGGGGATCAAACTCATATTAGCAGGCTTGACAGCCTCTTTACCTGCTTAGCCAGCCCTGGAAGTTACTTTTATCAATATTTCCACCAACGCACACACACACAGGCCTCCAGACAAAGAAATTAGTGGGCTATTCCTAAACAAATCAGAAGCAGTGATTAGTCATCTCTTCTGAGTCTGGGGGTCCTTTGGAGAACTGTTGTAACTCCTTTCCACTGAAAAGAGTTGTGTAAGCACACAACCACTCACTTTCACTAGAATTTCAGTGGTTCAGTAGTTCCCTAAGCCTCAGGAACCTTTCACTGAAAACATCTGAGTTCAAATAATCTGGAAAGAAAGAAGAATGAAAATAGCTTTGTGAAACTGGCCATAACCTAGATTCTGGAGCCCAATTGCTCAGAATTAGGCCCATAGCTCTCCAGAGCCCATACAATCTTAGGCAAAAATTAATCTTGTTCACATGTGCAAGATGGGCCTGGTGGCAACTGTAACATCCTGTGTAGAATATCTTTCATTGTTTCCATCACAGCCCTGGCCATGTAATGAAAATGTCTCCTCATTTCAGCCCTGTGCTCTCAGGCAAGTTCCTCCACCTCTCTGAGGACTAGAGTTTCCATATGTGAAGCAGAGACAATACCCCCTTTGTAGGGGTGCTGTTTTCTTACCTAGCATCAGGACTTACACAATGCTTGCATCTGTAGGGTTATAGATATTATGTCACTGTCATCTTCCTTGTATAAAGGAACACTTCCTGTTTCCTTCACAGGTGTTCAAGTTGGGATGAAAATGATGGAGGAAATGGCAAAGGAAATTGCCATCCCAGATCTGAAAGGTTCTGAGTCTCTTGAGTTTCTGAAGATTGACTACGTAAAGTACAACTTTTCAAAGTAAGAGAGTAGGGAGTAGTGTCTAATATCACAGGGGCTCAAACCCAGTGGAGAAACCTATGAAAACCCTACCTTCTTTATCTTTTTTTCTGCTTCACCATCTAAGTTCTGACTTCTACTCCCAAGTTTGCCTCGTGGCCCAAGATAGCTACTATGGTTCCAACTATCTGATGCATATTTCATGTAGCTGAAAGGGAGAAAGGCACTGGAAAAGACTCTTAGAAGTTCTGTTAGTTTTCTCATATTTTGTTTTTGGTTTTTTGAGACAGGGTTTCTCTGTATAGCTTTGGAGCCTGTCCTGGCACTCACTCTGGAGACCAGGCTGGCCTCAAACTCACAGAGATCCACCTGCCTCTGCCTCCCGAGTGCTGGGATTAAAGGCGTGAGCCACCAACACCCAGCTTAGTTTTCTCATTTTTGAGATTTTGTCTGAGGCTCTAACCTAACCACATTCCATCTATACAACAAAAGACAGAACTTAGTTACATGTCCAGGGATGTTTAGGGAAGGGGAAATGGATATTCAGATGGCAACTGGGATCCAGTAAGATTCCCCAAAGGAGGGAGAGGATGTGGTCAAACTAGAGATCAATCTCAGAGGGCAGAGTAGAATCCGCTTTCCCAAGGAGTTATTGTGATCTGTCATTCAGTTGCCTATTGCTCTAACCCTTAGCAATAATAATCACCTTGATTTAATGTCAACCTTTTATAAAAATCAGCAGGTGTCTTTGTTGTAAAGGAGATGGTACAGGGAAAGTTCCTTGCAAATCTCCTCACCTGCAGAAAGCCAGCTGCTCAACATGTGTTTATTGAGCAGCTACCTCACACAGGGCTTTGTTCTAAACACAAAGAATGCTATAGTGAATACAGGTATAAGTCCTTGCCCTTGATACTCTGTGGGAGAGATCGGCATTACATATTTATTTACAAAGACAATCATTTAGCTACAATGATAATGACACAGCAGAAAAGTACAGGGAGAGCTATAAAATAAGTTCTGGAGAAGATGGGGAGAAATGGGCATGCTCATATGTTGCTGGCATGAGCATATAGATTAATATAATTTTAATTCTGTGCTTTCCAAACCACAGACACTGATCATTCATGGCTATTGAGCATTTGAAATGTGATTTGTGTAACAGAGAAACTATATTTTTATTTACTTACTTTTAATTCAAAAGCTGACTCTTAGCTAACCATAGTAGTACATGCTTATAATTCCAGTACTACATAAACTGGGTGTGGTGGCACACAACTGTACTTCTAGCACTTGGGAGTTGGAGGCAGGAAGATCAGGAGTCCAGGATCATCCTTAGCTATATGTCAAATCCAAGGGCAAAAAAATGATAGACAAAAGACTAATAAGTGAATGCATAGACATGCTCATCATTGCTGGTTGTCTGGGAGAATGCATGTGAATACACACTGAGGATGGATTTTCCCACCTCAGTTATCCTAGTCTAGAAACTTTCTAAGTGATTATGGATCATACAAAATTGAAAATCAACAGTAATCATAGAAGTATATATAGTCTTTGACCCAGTAATTCCACTTCTCAGTATTCTCCTAGGGAAAGTATAGTCCACAAGTAATGTGTACAAGGATGTTCCCTATACCATTGTTTATATAATGGAAACAGCCTTGAGAAGGATTTTGCGTATTCTATAGCAGTTATAAGGAATAGATTAGCAAAGCATAGTGGTACACACCTTGAATCCCAGTACTCAGAAGACTGAAGCAGGCTTATATAGTGAGTTTCAGGACAGCCACAACTACATAGAGAGATCCTGGCTTGGGGAGTGGGAGGCATGGAGGGAAGGATGACCTATAGGTGTCACTACTATTCTGAATCTCTGCTATTCTCTTCTCACAGTGGGACTGGGTGTGTGGTAGGGGGCAGGCAGGAGACAGTGAATAGGAAAGGAAACAGCGGGCTCATTCATCAGGTAGCACATGTATGTTCTGGACTTTTCCCAGTCTCAGCTCAGAGCAGTGACTTTCTCCTGTGCATCAATTAGGTGAGGATGACCTCATTTCCATGTCATCTTCCCAACCTTCCTGTGAGTAACACTTCTTTTTGAACCATTGACTGAAAGAGGACAGTGCCTTGCTCAAGGTTGTAAAACTAGTACAAACCTTGAATCCAGGTCAAGTGCTCCTTGTATAATACATGGAGTGGCAGGACCCAGTGATTAGGAGCCTGAAGTCAGATTGCAGAGGATTCCAGATCTGGTTCTACCACTTACATATGACTTACAGGCTTTTCTTATCTTCTCATCTCTAAGCTAGAGCTTGCACTTACACCAGAACCCTACAGGGATACTGAGGGATACTGGGAGGGCCAAAGTGAGCTTTGAAGTCAAGTGGTTACCAAGAGAACAGACAGTTGGGAATCACCCAAATCACAATACTTTGTCACTGTGCATGTAGTTTCTATCTTCTATCTATCTTCATAGATTACAGACAAGCCCACTGCCTTACAGGTACCTGGGACAACCTGTTTAACAGCTCAGGGAATCTTACAGGAAACCAACTCTTTTCATCTCCATATAGGGGAACATGGCAACAGTAGAAGGAAGGCATGTTTTGTTGTCCCGGTGAATGGAAGTAGGGGATACATCTGACACATGTGTCAAATGCCTGAAAAAACAGCTGTGTCATCAAAATAACTGATGTCATCCCCTTAAAGAAACACTGAAAGTGGTATATATATATATAGTATATATGGTATATATTGTTGTACATATACATATGTACAACAATAGGTACAACACTGCCATTATGTTTTTTTCTTTTATATATATAATGGCAGTGTTGTACCTATTTTTGTTTTTAAAGGAAACCAAAAGGCTGGGGAGACGGCTTGGTGGACAAGAATACTTGCAAAAAAGCATGAGCTCATGGTTCACATCTCAAGCACCCATGTAAAAAGCAGGCAGGGCTTTATAGACCTGTAACCTGAGCCCTGCAGGCACCAGAGACAGGAGGACCACTTTGCTAGCCACCTGCCTACCTCCAAGTCTCCAGGGAACAAGATGGAGGGTGGTAGGACAGAGCACTTGGTTCCTCCTGTGGTCTCAGTGTGCACACACACATGTACACACACACACACATACACACACACACACACACACACACACACACACACACACACACACCAAAAAGAAATTTGAGAAGTATATTATTTTATTACTTACAAATTTGGTTCTAAACTTGATTGCTTCCTCTCAAAATTGCTTCTTGCTAAGAGGACTCACGAGACCACACCCAGGCACCCCGGCTAGAGAGCTGGGAGGCCTCTTCTTCTGTAGGAATTCACAATCTCAGGGCAGCTCCAGCCTCCAATTTGCTCGCCTTAGCAATGTCCATAAATGTTGCCCTCACTTTCTTGTTTCTTATTTTACAGCATAAAGATCAATGCCTTTTCATTGCCAAATAGCTCACTGGCCTTTGTGCCAGGGGTCGGAATCAGAGCACTGAGCAACCATGGCACTGCCAACATCAGCGCTAACTGGGAAGTCAGGGCTCCGCTTTTGTGAGTATCCCACTGACATCCTCGCTGGGGAAAATGCAAACAATACGCTGCTGTTTTCAGTGTAGGCTTCTGTCTTTCCATGTCCATACTTCCTCAAGAGCTTTACCAGGTGAGAGTTGACTCAGGAAACCACGCTTGGCAGGGAGGTGAAGGAAGGGCTCTCTCTCTTAGAAGCAGAGCAACCGAGCTTTCCAGACTTCCTAAGAGCCAGGTGGTGGTGGAACACCCTAATTCTAGCACTACCGAGGCAGGACCAGGAAGATTTCTATGAGTTTGAGGCCAACCTGGTCTACAGAGGACAGTCAGAACTACACAGTGAGATTGTTTCAAAATCGCACACACACAAACACACAAAACAAACAAAAACCAAAAACCCCTAAGAACTAGAGGCCGGGCTGGGAGAGAAATTCCCATAATCTTCCACATTTGAGGTCCACTAACCTGAACCAGATGTTTAGTGCATTTCCCCATCTGCAGAGTCAACGAACGGGAAACAGAGCTTACTGTCTCACACAGAGCTTGGAAGATGATAGTTAGCTCTTCCCCAATCAAAAGGTCTCTGTGCCCTCAAACAGAAGAAAAAATGGTTGAAGCTGGATGTGCTGGTTCTATGCCTGTAATTTAAATATTTTAAGAAACAGAGGCAAGAAGACTGGTGCAAGTTTGAGGCCAGCTTGGGTTTCACAGTGAGTTCTTGACCATCTGGGTTACAGAATGAGATCATGTGTGGGAGAGTAGGAAAAGAAAGGAAAGAAGGAGAGGGGGAAAGGAAGAAAGGAAATAATAGAAATAAAAGAGCTGGGTTGGAGAGATATCTCAGTGGTTAAGGGCACTGATTGCTCTTGCAGAGGACCTGAGTTTAGTTCCCAGCACCCACTTAGTGGCTCAGAACTGCCTATAACTCCTGTTCCAGGGGCTCTGGTATCCTCTTGGGCACCTGCATTCACCCAGTTGTAATAAATAAATAAAAAGAGGAGGAAGGAAGGAAAAGAAAAAGAAGAGGAAAGGAGAGAGGAAGAAAAGCTGAACACAAGGTATACCCACAAACCAACAAACCAATTTCTATGGACAAGTCATTGACACAGTGTAATGGTTAGGTCTATCTTGGTTGGCACCTCAGAATAGCACATTCAATCATTCACAAGGCTATTCTACAACCATTTGTTGTCTATGTATCCTTTTTCCAGGCTAATAGATTGCAGATAAATAGCATGTTCCCCCATAAGCAACATAGATTCATATACTCCCTCACTTCCTTGATTTAGCCTCCATGCTAAATGTTGGGGAATTACTCTGTGTAGGGTCGTGTGCAAAGTCTTGAGCAACACATGCTCTACTGCCTCATGGCCATAGTCTAAGCTTCACTTCCCCATGTTCACACAGCCCAGATGTTTACCTGGTGCTCCCTCTCAAAATGAACACTGTATATAAAGTGGTGCTCCACCTTAGCTCAGCCACTTCCAGCACCAGAGCACTGGGGACAATAGAAGCACAGTGTCCCCAGCTGTCCATTCACACAATCACCACTTCATTTGTTCGGTAAGCATCCATTTGGCACATGCAGTGCTCCCGAGTCTATTGTAGGTGTCAGGAACTCTGATATGAGCATGACAAAGTCCCTGTCCCCCAGAGAGCTTAAAAGACCCATCTCCATGTGTGGCTCACACTTGGGTAACCTTTCCTTTTCTCTCTGCACAGCCAAGATTCAGGAGCTGCTGATCTGTTTCTCTCTGGAATCTACTTTACTGGCATCATTGTCCTCACCCGTGATAACCTTGGTCACCCAGCCGTGGAACTCCAAGACTGCCGTGCCCAAGTGAGCCATGCCCGAGTCTCATTTTCTGGAGGCCTCAGGTGAGTGACAGCAGCCTGGTGGAGGCTCTGACTGCCACTCAGAGAGGTTTCCCACTGGTATCTCATGGTCCCTGATAAGTTCCCTTTTTCATTTTTCCTAGTGTCCTGTATAACTCCTTTGCCGAGCCCATGGAGAAACCCATTTTGAGGAATTTAAACGAAATGGTAAGTCTTCAAAAGTTAGACAACCACTGTCAAATGCTATCATACTTTGATATTTTTATCATAAACATTTATTGAGCACTAACTGTATGCTAAACACCATGCAAGACACTTTAATTCATCCTATTCTAAGCAATTTAGTTTCTCTTAGTTCAAGCATTGTGGCAGAAAGACACAGATGAATAACCCCCTACCTCGAGTTTCCCCGCCACAAAGTGGGCAAGCATTTTGTTCTTCAGCAGACCAAGCTAGACTAGGGACTATTGACGACAACAACAAAAACCCTCAGACCTGTAAAGCAATAGCTGAACCAGGGCTCGAATTTAATGCATGGTTACTTGATGATGAGACTGAACTGAAGGAATTTGGAGAACTGCAAAGTTTCCTGGGAGAAATGTTTATTTAGGGAACTGAGCCTTGAAATATACGTAAGATTTGAGTAGGTAAGGAATGAGCAGGGTGATGACAAGTATTGCCAAGAAATACATTAAGAATGTTCTTGGGAGGTGGAGACAGGAGGATCACAAGTCCAAGGCCATTTCCAGCTACATAGCAAGTTTGAAGCTAGCCTGGGCTACATAGAATCTTGACCCCAAAAATGGCAGCAGCAGACTTACGGAGTACAGAGTCTGAGCTAAGCAGTATTCTCCAGACTATTTCAGTTTCTCCTCACAACTTGATGAGGTAGATGTAATAACCATCCTCGTGCTGCAGGTGATGAGACTAAAGTCGGGTTGTGAAAGTGAATTGCCAGTGGTTTCTACTCCAGGGGCCTGGCTGCAGAGCCTGTCCTGAAACCATCATACTGCATGAACATTGCTGAGCACGTGTCTGACACATCAGTGTTTGTAACTTAGTAGTTTCTCTCTGGAGTCAGCTTTGCTGGCATTCACCCCCTTCAGAAAGATAGAAATGGGGCTGCACACAAGACCACACCAGCTAAACAAGTGCATTGAAATGGTCACTTCATGCAGGCAACTGGTCTGTGAACCTGTAACGGTGACCACACCCCTTTGGGTGTAGCTTCAGGCGGATAGAAGTGGAAGGAGAGAAGCTTGAGGTGTGGCTTTCCTTCCCTCAGTCTTTCGGGTGGGTCAGCCCATCTGGTAGGAAGGACAGGGAAGTGCTCCTGAGTTTCTTTGTATTTTTCTATGTAATTATTCCCCAATAAATACCCATTTATCATAAAAAAAAGAAGTGGGGCTGTGATGTCTCTCAGTTGGTAAAGAGCTTGCCTAGGATGCATGAAGTCCTGGGTTTGATCCCTAGCAACACATAAACTGGATGGGATGAGGCATACCTGTAATCACAGCACCTAGATGGTGGAGGCAGAAGCATCATGAGTTCAAGCTCATCTTAAACTGCATAAAAAAAAATCCAAAAGCCAACATGGGCTACATGAGACTTTGTCTCAAGGAAAGGAGGAGGAGAGGCAGCAACAGAGTCCTAAGTGGATATCTAATCTCATGGTCTCCCCAATTAGCCCAGGTGAAAGTGAAGGTTCCAACTGAAGGCACTCCAGGCAGGCCTTGGAGCCAGCGGCTGATACAATGGGAGACAGTGGCGCCCAGTCAGGAAAGACACAGCTGCTCACACAGCAGGTTCCTCAGGTGTGACACCAACACCATGGACAGAGCACATGCCTCAACATGTCCATAGAGAAAAGCCAAGCTCTTTTGTGGGGCTAGTTGGGTGTGGTTTCAGTTGCTCAGCCAGCCCTCAGTGACACATGGCACTTGCTGCAGAGGCTGAAGGCTAAAGAGCATCAACTGACTTAAAGAAGCATTGTCCTGGCCACAGGGATAATGTCTGCTAAACAGAAGGTCTTTTCAGTATGGTAACATGGGTTTTCACAAATTCTTTTGGTCCAGCTCTGTCCCATTGTCATCAATGAAGTGGATGCACTCAATGTCAACATCAGTGCCCTGGAGGGTGAGTCTTGGAACTGTCTTCTGGATAGTTCTCTACCCAACTTCAAACCTTATCCAAGTCTTCTTCCTAAGCAGCAAAGTGCCCATTCGTCACTCTGCTTTTCTTCCTTCTAAAAAGTAAAGTCCCAGGACACCATATAGGACAAGCCTTATGCATGGCACATGTACTCCTTGGCTATAGCCAGATTAGCTATTGCAGCAGAAGGTGGGTCTCGGCAATCAGTGGGCAGAGCTGAGGTGAAAAGACCTCTCTGGCTCTAATTCAAGGTTTGGCATTTAATCCGTCTTCTTGACCAGGTCATCTGTCTAGCCTTCTCTAACCCTTCAGGGGCTGCCTGCAGTATGTAGTAAGCCCACACATCTGGACTTGTTCCGTCTCCACCTCTCTCTGCTTCATCTTTTCCCACACATCTGGGCTCACTCTGTCTCCACCTCTCTCTCTGCTTCATCTTTCCCTCCTCTAGCAATCAAGCTGCCTCTACTTCCCTTCTCTCCTTGACTTTGCTCACACTGCCTGCTCTACTGAGAAGAGGCCCCTTTCTCCTTTAGTTTGTTCTTTTAGCAGACCTTTATTGAGCATAAATTTCTTCTGTTTTTGTTTTTTGAAACAGGGCTTCTCTGTGTAACAGCCCTAGCTGTCCCGGAACTCATTCTGTAGGCTAGGCTGGTCTTGAACTCACAGGATTCTGCCTGCCTCTGCCTCCCAAGTACTAGGATTAAAGGCATTGCCCATTTCTACACCAGTACTTTCCTGGTCCCCACAGCAGTAGTTTCTAGGGTTATAGAAGTATTCAGGGATTTTTTTTTACCCTGAGTCAGCAGATCAGCTTCAAGGGAGTTCTTCCTGTACTGGATTGTGACTTCCTTGCCATATGTCTGTCTCCTGCTCCTCTGCACTCTGAGATCCTTGGTGTCAGGACCTTTGCTCTAACATCAGTTACAGGACCTGGCTGTCAGGCCAATAAATACTGAACTGATGAAGGGATAAGAAATAATAGGCAGAGGATGGATCACAATCACTGTGCATGTAGTTTCTATCTTCTATCTATCTTCATAGATTACAGGCAAGCCCACTGCCTTACAGGTACCTGGGACAACCTGTTTAACAGCTCAGGGAATCTTACAGGAAACCAACTCTTTTCATCTTCATATAGGGAAACCTGGCAACACTAGAAGGAAGGCATGTTTTGTTGTTCCAGTGAATGGAAGTAGGGGATACATCTGACATGTGTCAAATGCCTGAAAAAACAGCTGTGTCATCAAAATAACTGATGTCATCCCCTTAAAGAAACACTGAAAGTGGATGCATGGTGCAGACAGAAAGAAAGAGAGTGCATCAGAAGGAAGGGAGTGAAGGATGAGCCCCATCCATTGTGCACCTTGAGCTAGCATCTTCATCTCCAAGCTTCACTGCCATCTCTTGGCTACACAGGGAGTTCCAGGCTAGCAAAACTATTTCTATTGCAATAGTGATTCTCTCTCTCTCTCTCTCTCTCTCTCTCTCTCTCTCTCTCTCTCTCTCTCTCTCTCTCTCTCT